TTAAAATTGTTGCTTTAGATGTATGCTCTTTTAGTTATCTTTATGTTCCAAAAGTCTACATTATGGCTGGTTGCAACTAAGTGTCCAGTTCATATCTATGCACTAAATTGTCCAGTGCATCTTTATATTTGTGTGTTTTCATATAATTAATATATTTATGCACATTTGCAGGTTGCTGTCTAATTGAAAAGAATACTAGCTTTCTGTTTCTTTAATTAAAGGTTCAGTTTAAGATTCAGGGAGTAATATTGATTTTACAAAATACCCTTCAAATGAGAAGGTGGAAGCTACTGCACTCATTCTCTTGAAATATGATTTCAGCATTTGTGGTCTGAAACATGCCTTAAGCCTTTCCTTTTCCATAGACTCTCCTTTTAAGAAGATTAAATGTGAAGAGGGTGTATTATTATATTTTATAATTCTTCTGTTTGTGTTTATATAGTTTAGGTGTAAAGGTTTTTCATGTCACCTTATTTATTTTATGATTCTATTTTCTTACTCTTAGGTGGTCTTGCATAGGTACTTGAATTTATCAACTTCAGAGAATGTTGTTGTTCCAAAGTAACTACTAAAGGTATGCTATGTTCTTTGACTATTTGATCTTTTTCCTCTAATGATAATGGTGCAGCTCCAGAGGTAATTAAAATTGTTGCTTTAGATGTATGCTCTTTTAGTTATCTTTATGTTCCAAAAGTCTACATTATGGCTGATTGCAACCAAGTGTCCAGTTCATATCTATGACAGTTCATGACTTGGCACCGCTAATGTAATCTAAATCGCAGGGTAAAGCTTTGATTGCCATAGTTTGGAAACAAGGAATGTGACTGGGTGTACTTTCACTATTAGTAAAAGTACTAACCTCAATATCTATGCCTAAGAAGAAAGATGAATTAAACATCTATTTTCAGTTAAATGAAAAAATGATGTTTTTCAACAAACACATAATAACAACATTCTGAATATGAATAGAGGAAATATGTTACTTTTTGTATTTCCAATACATTTTATCATCTCCTACTGAAGCCACCAAAGTTGTCGGTGGGACTGCCACAATCGTGAATCCTGGTATAAAGATATGGATTACCTTAATTGTCTTGAATTGTGCTTTGATCTTTAAAAAGCGAATTCGGAACACTACCTTTTGATTTTTTTTTTGTTCTCCTTGCATGGTGATGATAAAAATGTGAAGGCGTGCAGCTTTAGTATAAAATGTAGACATCAAATATGAGCCAACATAACGTTTACAAAGACGTATACACTGCCATTCTGGTACGCATGAATTACCTCTCATATTCAGTTTATGTTCTATTTTGTTATTAGATACACTCTCAACTGTATATGTTGTTTCTGTGTGTTCCATTTTCTCCTTCATTCCTGCTCTAAACAGTCAAACATGTTTGCTATATTATTTCCGGGTTGAAGTTTTTCCTTTTTATTTTGAAAATGCGCTTTCCTGCTTGAGCCCACCTAATAGCCATTTGAAAATCCTTGAACTATTATGGTGAGCTTGGTTTTTTTTATTTCTGTAAATTTCATTGTTGCTTTTTCGAATATAAATTCTTTGCTTTATGATTCCATAGATGTTTTGGGAATAAGTCTTGGATGTTGTTTGTATAGTTTCATGGATGAAGTTTATTCTCGTTTTCGGTTTTTGTTTCCAACAATTGAACTACTATTTTTACAAAATAAAGGAAACGTTTGAAGAATTTAAGAACTTTTCTTTAAATTCCCTTTTCATTTACTTTCCAATTCCTTCAAATACTGTTTATTGATTTAGCATTGAATTGAAAATATTGCCTATTTAAAATATTGCTACATCAGACTACGATTTGAACTATCATATTCTTCATTTTATATTTCAGGCCACCACTAGCTCACCGCTCATTGAATTGAAACCATTGTAAAATGCCCCCCTTTGAAACAATATGTATTATATCACCTTGGCAACTTATGCTTTACTTCCTCTCCTAGATTTTATTTCACTTCCTATAGCTTTTGCAATGTGTCATGCTTTACACAACTCCATATTGCTCTATGTGTTTTTGCAGCTCAAACAACTACTCATTTTGGATTACTTTAAGGTATTATTGGCATCAGAAACTCCATCTTAGGAGTCTCATTCGTAGTGAAGTCATTATTTCTTATTAACATTGGATTCACTGTTCTTGACATCTTTCGCAACGACTACTAAGTCTGTTGATTTGGAAGAGCGTTCCCGGTTGTTTGATACCATCAATACAACTCTTTCGTTCGTGATCATAGTTCTAGAAAATTGAGATTGTGATGAATTTTTACTAACAATAGTTCTTGACTGTAACTATTTTATTGCAGCTATGTTTGTAATACGTATGTCATAAATGGTTTTATTGTTTCTGCTATTGTCCTGTGTTATTGTTTATGTTAATATTGTTGATTAATTTTGTTCCCTTCATATCGGTTGAATGTTTACCATTGGGCATCGACTCTCGCGCAAAGCGTGTGGCTATGCTAGTAGAGTTAAATAACTCTAAAAATGGTTATAGCTAGTTTCTGAAATAAAGATATGTTAATTCATCAATTCCCAAGTTTTTATTAAAATATAAATACACTTTATAGAGAAGTGTTGCGTATTAATACTTAAATATGGAGTAGTAAGTAATAACGCTATTGCTTAAAATGTAAACAAAAGGAATAACAGCGTACAAAATACAAAACAAACGATGCATGCGCATAATTGTCCGTCATTGTTCCAAAATAGGTGCACAAAGAAATATTTACAGTACATCAATAAGATCCTTTTACTAGTATTTCACCCACTCGTGCTTTGCACCACAATGAATCGATCAATATTAATAGTGGTTATAATTTTAAAATAAGAATCAACATCAAAATTTGAATCGAGTGTTATGTATGTGTATATATAAACTAATACTCTGTATAAAGGTAGTGTAAACAAAATATAGTGTTTTATTTTTTTGCAAGAGAAAAACTTAATCAATATTAATCAGATCATATATTGTCCATCATACAAGAAAGAAAGCTCGGAGGATAAAAATAACAGGTATGTAGCTCACACAAGGAACAAGCAGCTCTCGCTAATGCATGGACTGTGTTGTTCGTTGAACGCTTCACATGACTAAAAGAAATACTACAAAAATACGATGAAAGATTTTTTTATATCTTTTGCCACCACTCAAATTGAAGAAACGTTGGTCCCTTTAAGAATCTCAGAAATAGCACCCAATTCCACATCAATTACTCCCCACTCGTAGCCTTGCAACCAACTCAAAGCTTCTCGTATACCAATAAATTCCGCTGTCAATGGAGTTAGCCCGACCATCCTATATATGTATATTTTGCATGGAATTGCATGGAATATGACGTTTAAATGCTAAGGCTTGATATATGATGATTAAATACTAAGACTTGGATTAGTCATTAGTAATGATATGATATAGACCTTATCTAGTATGATATGTGGTAGTTCATAGGAAATGGTGGATAACTCAGGGACTGGTCTGTCCTCAAAACTTAGAAATGTAATTGGGGGAGTACCCAGGGACTAGACCATCCTCAAAACTCGATATATAATTGGTGGAGAACCCAGGGATTGGACTGTCCTCAAAAGTCGAAAATGTAATCGGTGGAGTACCTAGGGACGTGATTGTCCTCAAAACTCAAACAAGGATTTAGTAGCCTAGAATCAGACGATGTCCTTAAGGTGCTTGATTGAGCAAGGTGGAGTTCAAGACACTCATGGGTATATTGAGTGGGTTTGGGTTTATAAGTCAAGGACTACGACTATTATGATTTTCCAAATAAATAATGACCTACGGGTCAGGTATTTTCCAAATGTATATACTGATTATGTATTTCAAGACTTTGGGAGGGGGGAGATATAAGTATGTGTATCACCCTATGTTTGGGTCTTATACTTGAAACATTAGTTATTCTACATTTAGCCTCCTTCTCGCCAGTATTCGTGTACTGACTCCTTCGGGGGCCTCACCATTTTCAGGTTGAAGCTGGAACTTGCTACCTGCACCTTTGCACAGGTGAAATGATCTCGTGGAAGACGTGGTTCGTGCTTCCTTTACTATTTTGAAATTATAAACTATACTCATGGATATCTTGTACTCAATACTTTGTTTTGGGCCTGCTAGCCCACGATTTGCCATATGTGGCCCATGATTGACCTTTGAATATTTCCATTATTCATTCAATCTAAAGTGTGATGTTGTTATGTATGTTTACTTACTGAGTATGGTATGAACTATGTTCATGGATGCCTTGTACAATCGAGTGAGTGTGACTGTGGGTGACGTCACTTTATTGTGCGGCAGTTGTACACTCACACTAATAAAAATGTAGTAGTAAAGGTTTAAGTACGAGTATTATCTCCACAACGACGGAAAAAGGGTATCAGAAATTAACTAAATTCGGCGATTGAAAAGAAATGCAATTGTGCGAGATTTGGATTTTTTAGGAAATTAAAATGTGAATAAACAACTAAACTAATGGGTTCTTTCTAAGTAATGCCGATAGGGAACATGGATTGATTCCGGGGCAATTAGATTTCTCTCTAATCGGGCTTAATCACATGCAAATTATTTAATTGAGCAACGCTGCTCAATACTATGTTCTTACCGCTTTCGCGGCTTAGAGTATAATAATTTTGGGAACCAGGCTGATCTCTCATGCGACAGGTTTCTAAATTATTGCCAAAACGAGCGAGCGTACGACTCCCTTACCATTACTAATCTCTTAGTGAACGATTAAGTGTGTGTGAAAGTGTCCTAGAATAAATTAGATCTCTCTTAATTTATTCTATGTGCAATTATAATCATAGCTACAGTTCTAGGTGACAATAGATATCAATTAAATTATTCAAACACAAATTAAATAAAGATCATGCAATTAATCCATCAAGAAATTAATCTTAGATCATGATTAACTCTTTCATCAATCCCAAATCCCTAACTAAAACTACTCACAATTTATAATTGAAAAATCAACAGAATTAGGATGAAAAGAATTAATTGTCATTAATTAAAAAGTTGGAACTTACAAAGAATCCCAAAATCTTGATGAACAAGGCTGAAAAGCTCTCTAAATTTTGTAATAGAGTTTATCTCTCTAATCTCCGTAATGAAAAACAAGCAAACAAGGGCTGAATAAATAGAAACACTTGGAAAGTGGCCGAAAATCGACCCGTACGGGTGCGTGTAAATAATTCGGCGTCAAAATTTTCTTCTGCTCGCACGGCGTGCGGCTGCCCGCATGGTCCGACCATGTGGGGTACTCCTGCAACTGTTTTTGAGCCGCGGGGCGTGCGGTTTCATCCGTGGGGCGTGCGGTTCAGACTTTTGGACTTCATGCTCTCCAAATCACCCGCGGGGCGTGCAGATATGATGCGCGGGACACACGAACCTCTTTTGAACCGTTTTCTTGCATTTTTCTTCCCCTTTCGACCCTGATTGATCCCATCTTCAATCTTTGACCACTTTTGACTCAAATTATGCTCCTTAATCGTCCTGTGGACCTCATATGCTTCTAGCCATCTCTTGAACGAATCCCAAATCTTCTCAAATTAAGTTCTAACGCCGATGGGGGGTCCAAATTCCTGATTTTCTCTTCTAAACACAAACCAAATCAGGTAAACTGTGACTTGAGCTAATTAAACACTTTGTGACACAAAAGATTAGGAAAAGTGACAAAACTCAATCCAACACGCATCAAATACGTGTTGAAATATGAACTCAATCCCAAGGAATGGGAGGCGAGGAAAATGAAGAACGTCGAGGAGGCGAAGGAAATGAGAAAACCATGGCCCGGCAAGATTCTAGTAAAAATGGGAACCATTGGGGAGCAGGATCTTTTTTGGCGTGACTTTTGAATATTTTGAAGTTGGTGTTCCAACTTTTAAAATATAAACAATGACACCCACTATTTTTCAAAAAAATCTCTAAATAGGACTAAAATATGAATATAATTCATAAATAGTACTTTTAATGTTTTATTCCCAAAATAGGACTCAATAACTCCAATTTTGAAAAGTTTTAATTAAGTTATTCTTTTAAAAGGACTAAATAAGTCGGAATAAAATTAAACATACTTAGTCCTATTTTTTGAACTTTGTGTTGGTTTTGATCTTATATTGAGCGATTTCTATTTTTTAAATGGTGGTTTCAATTTTAAAATTTTGAAAGGTTACACATACCTATATGTAGATTATTTTTTCAGTGGTGTCAATTTTAAATTTTAAAAAAATTATATATACCTATATATGAAAAAGAAACCAAGCAATCTAGTCGAACTGATTGTGAGGTTATCGTGCCTAGTGGGAGGTCTCGAGTTGTGAATTGACACCACAACCCTATAGGTGGCTCCGTCCCTAGACATCAAGCTCAAAGTGCAGGGGAAGCACACATCTTATACCTTAGTGTATCTCAAAGTGCAGTCAGCTCTGTCCTAGTATAGTATGAGAAGAGGGGGAACACGCAAAAACCAGTATATTACATAAGCAAATTTTGCATGGGGTCAAGCTTAGGAACCCCTCCTTAGATAAAACAATCGTGACAGTTTATGTGTCAGCTCTTTAGTCATGTCAGCATTCTCTGATGGATCAGCTGCGAGTACCAAACCCCTATTTTCCTCCTCAGCAATATATCATACTACAATTCTTCGTGATCATTTCCATAGTAACACAATCCTAAATTAACAAACACAACCTAGAGACTTACCCAGCCAAATACACCCGAAGAATAACAAAAATTATAAAGAACAGAACCCAATTGCAAGCCACTGCAAACTAAACAACGAAGATGTACTACCCCACCCTATAATCGGATCTGAAACTGTACCACAAAACCTCGGCCACACAAAGCCGGAAACAATACGCGGGACAAACGCCCGGAGCAAGAAACAACGATCGAACAAGAAAACGAAAAAGAAGAAACCTTGCAACAAAGGAGTAAACGCCGTCACCTTCACCAATCTGAATCGACCCGGGTTCCGCTAGGGTTTGCGGCGGCCGCTCCGTACAAGAGATGTCGTTGTTACCGCTGCCCATCACCACCCACCGCCACCGCGATCACCATGTGACCCCAGCGCCGCCAAGTAACTGGCAGCTGCCTAAACAACAACCTCCCTGCCTCGCCTAGTCCCTAGCAGCCCTAACAACAACCACGACGGTGGACGCTGCCACCCCCTTGCCCACCGGCCCAGTCCACAAACCCCAGCCCCATCCGGAACACTCCCCCATACCCCCTCCAGCACCCTCCCCCAGCAGCCCCCAACCCTCTCCAGTACCCTCCCCAGCCCCCTCCTCATCCCACATATTGTGACTGGTCCACCACCGATCAAAATCTCTCTATCCACAACCCGCCACCACAGGCCAATATCTCTTCGTCCATAGCCCCCAACAATCTACTAGCCAAAGTGACATCTCCATGGCCCACAGGGCACACCCCAGCCACCCCACCACAGTTCATAACGCACACCCCCACTCATCCATTACAACCACCATCCGACCCTGTCAGTACCGCTCATCGGTTTCTGAACACCCTACCACCAGATCGAAACCTTAGCCACCTGGATCTGAAAAATCAAGATGTGGGGATACAGAATCTGCAGATCTGGACAGGATTTTGATTGGCGGCTATCGAGACGCTCCATCGAAGAAGACAACGACGGAGGTTCTCCAAAGCAGCGGCAATCGAGACACACCGTCGAAGACGACAAAGAAGGAGGTGTTCTAAAGCGGTGATGCTAGATTTACAGTCGAGAAGAAAGGAGAAGAAGAAGAAAGTGACGATGGCTCAATCGGAGAACACTGATGGAAAAGGAGCGATGGTAGTATGGATGTGTTAGAGGTGGTGGAGGCCGTTCGATTGGAGATGAGTGGAGAGATGGGAATTGGATGTCAATAGACCCGAGATGAGAGATGGGGAGACGGAAGAGAAAATGTCGGCTCGATCACTTTTTTGTCACAATCTAACAATAATATTTGGGCCATTATTTCTTGTTTTTAATTATGATAAAAAAACAAAATACAAAATACTAAATACTATCGTATAATTTGTGACGATATTCTTTTCTTTCAGGTGGGATTCAACATTCCTCCGGCATTACTTGATACGCCGGTCACCTTAGCTAATCTCCATCACCACATTAATATATAGTCTGAGCAAAATCAATCCTATATTCCATAACCCCTGCCAGACCAATTAATCAGCTGGCCGGAAAATGGAAAACCCACCTACAAAAACAGACGCCGGAACAAACTCCGACCGGCCAATAAAAATTTCCGGCCGCTCCCACACAGCCCGTTATTACTTTCACCAGGTGAAAGACAGCCTAACCACCAGACTCTCCAAGTTTATCCTCTCAATCATCTTAGGCGGTCTCTTCGTCATAGCCCTCATCGCCTTCATTTTGTGGATAAGCCTTCGGCCCCACCGCCCCAGGGTCCGCGTCGAGTATTTCTCTTTTCCGGCGCTTGGTAACGGAAGCGCCGCCGCTGCCGGCAGAGATGCCCATAGTATTAGCTTCAACGTGACGGTGAGAAACTCGAACCAGAATATCAAGATCCACTACGACGCCGTTCTGGTCAAGGTTTCCTACGACGGCCAGACCATAGGGAACGCTTCTTTCCCGAAACGGTTTTATCAAGGGGCGAAGAACACGACGGCTTTCGCCGGGTCGATCACCGGGGCGGCGCTGAATGCGAGTAGTCAGCACTGGACGCGCCTGGTGGCCGGCGCGTCGCGGGGTTTGGTGGTTTTCGGGCTGGACTTGACGTCGACGATCCGGTTCAAGGTGGGGTCTACTTGGAAGTCGAGAGAGCATAGGATGAATACCAATTGTGGGGTCGGGATTGGAACAGATGGCATGCTCGCAGCAGCTTACAAAGACAGGATTTGCCCTATGTATTTTAATTAGCTAGTGTTGCTGCAAAATTAATTTAAATTTGAAATTTTCATTTCGTATATATAATTCTTTTATTTGTGTCATAAACAAAAATATATTGGGCATATTATACACATCGACATGTACAAGACCCAAAATTGTTTCAATTTTCTCCATTATTGAAGTTATACATTCGCCTCTTCTATGAGATAGATTACAAAATCACTTAGAGTCCGTTTGGCAGCACGAAAATTGGTTGTTCTGGCTGATTCTGCTGAAATTTATGAAGTTCTGGCTGAAGTGGCTGCATTGGCTGATTCTGCTGATACAAGAAAAAAATATTTTTAAAATATATTTTACTAATAAAATAAAGAAAAAATTATATGTAAAAATAGATAAAATAGTCATCTACAGTAACTTCAGCCAATACAGCCAGAAAAGTAACCCCAACCTTACTTTTTCGGCTTATTACACAATTCAGCGCGCGAAAGTAAAATTTACGTGTTTGGTAAAAAAGTTGACTAATAAGCCTGATAAGCCGAAAATGAGGGTGGCCAAACGACATCTTAGTTCTTTTGCGGAAAATTTACCCAATAGGAGTAAATTATAAATTGATCATAATTCCCATCTTATGATCACATAATGTTTTGCAAAGATAAGAAAATAACTTGGAATAACATGTCATAAATCGACCAGGGATCGGTGAATGAAGATGGGGTGCAAAGGTTGGATTATTCATGGATAATCAAAAGGTGGGATTGATGTAAGAACACCGCTAAAAGATTGGATTATTAGTTTCCATTTTCCCTAATACAAAAGAATAGAAATCGAAGAGGAGCACTCTATTTTGAACTCAACCATTCTTGATGTACACACCCTTGTACACACCTTATACACACCATGTTTGTGAAGCTTTTTTTTTGTCTGTGAATCCGGTTCACAGACAATATTTTGTTTGTGCAAAACATTGTCTGTGAATCAATGTTCACAGACAAAAAAAAGCTTTCACAGACATAGGTGTGTACAAAAGTGTGTATAAGAGTGTGTACAAACATCTTTTTTGTTTTGAACTTGTGTTGCAGTTGCTGAAAGGAAGGAGAAAATGTCAGATTCCGACTTTGAGGATGAAGGGATTTGGCAGAAGATGGAACTTTGAACACAGGGCAACGACTTCAAATCAAAGTAAGTATGGTATGCCATTGAACTTTTAAAGTGATGAATACATGTTAAAATGTCATGCGGATATGCATGTGCATATAAATCCGTATAAACGCCATTAATGTCAAAATAAGAAGATGATAATGTCAAATAAGAAAATGAGATCGAAATAAGTATGTATACGGTGCGTTTTTACTATATCGAAGATGATAATGAAGAAGCAGTTTATACATGTTTCAATGCTTGAATTTATACATTTAATTTGATGTTTTAATGTCATGTTATATGATACATTTGATATACTAACTGTAATTAGAGCATTATGTATGATGGAGTATATGGCCCGGGAACCCCCGGCCCATAGACTCCTACTACTCCAGCGAAGGCCCAACAGGCCCAAAAGGCCCAACATGCCCAAATCACAGCGCCCAGAGTACCAAGCAGTCCGCACTACGCGCCAGGGGTGCCTTCGGCCCCCTGGCCGAAGGCTCCAAATTCTCACAGAACGGGTTTCTCAAGCAAATTAAGAAACTGGGAGAAAACGGCGAAAACAGTAGCCCTCGGCATTGTGAGCCCTCGGCACCAGGGTGCCATCGGGTGGAAGAGCCCTCGGCTACTGCTCTATAGCCGAAGGCATCTCACTCGACAAGATATCCGCCTCACATGCGTACAGATCACCGTACCCCGCATAGACGTCCCATCCAACAGCCGCATTAAATGCGGCCACATGCGGCTGCCAGCGCCAACCAGTTGAGGTGACCCCTGGGCCAATGAGCACTTGACACGTGTCCCTGCCCGGCATTTATTGCTACTATAAATAGCACCCCATTTCCTCATTTGTAACCACGCTGAAAACGGCATTCATACTGAATACACTCTCTCTACTTTTACTTACTTGCTCTGGCTTCTCTCTAAGTTATTCCCCGTAATAACCCTTCGGATATATACCCCCGGGTAGACTATCCATCATTTGGTGCTCTCGTTGAGAGATCGAACAATCAAGTAAGAAACCCTCCCCCTCGATCAAACGCAAAACACTAGCCCTCCATCAAAATGGTGAGGACAACACGTGCCAACTCAAAGAACGTAGAAGACAAGAACCTGGCCCTCGGCGACATCAACGCCCCCGAAGCCTCTCACAGGGCTCCCGAGGACGGTGTCATCGCTGGGCTGGAACAGGCGACTGTCGATCTACGCCTTCAGATCCAACAGAATGCCCCCGATGTCCGCCTCGGCATCGAGGCCAAGAAAAAAAACCGGAGCGATGACCAAGTCAGCCCTCCGGTTCTCACCATCGACGTACAATCGGCGCTCTCCGCCTTCATCCAAACGCTCACCCAGAACCCGGGTGCCTTCGGCACCCTGGCTCCAGCTCACCCTCAGATCGGGGAAAATATCATACTTCCCCCTCTGCCACACCCCTTCGGAAATCCCACCCCTCGGGTGAGAAACGACGAAGGGGTGGTGGCCCAAGATACGTCCTCCCAGGAAGTTCAGTCCCGGGACCGCCATAATGACAACAGGGAAAGGCCCCGTACTTCCGCCCTCAACCGGCTTAGAGGAGGGCCAGACCGCCGAGGGGTCCAAGACCGCCTCGGGAGGAAAGCGCTCCAAAGGCCCCAGGAAAGCGGGGGATCTGTTTCGAGGGCAGACGAGGAGCGTCCCCCTCGGGACAAAGGCAAGGCACCCCTTCATGCCAATGACGCTCGCCACCAGATCAACCAGGCCCACTCGGCCCGGGTTCGTTCGCAGGGGGCGGAGACCCTCCCGAAGGATCCCCGGGACGAGATTATTGCGGCCCTCCAACGCCGGCTTGACGAGATGGAGTCCAACAAAGCTCACGCCACCACCTCCACCCCTCATTCAGATCTCAAATACGAGGCCATGATGGCCAAAATGGAGGAGTTGCAGAAGAAGGTGGCCGAGGGCTCCGGAGAACCCGTCATCCAGCTCCGGACTTGGACGCCATTTACCCCAAGGGTGTTGGCGGCCCGGATCCCGGAGAAATACCGAGGGCAACACATACAGCCCTACAACGGGAAAACGGACCCCCAGGAACATTACAGCAAGTACCAGAACAGCATGATGATGGTAGGGGCGTCGGATGAATATTTGTGTCGTTGGTTCCTCTCCACCTTAGAGGGGCCGGCATACGAATGGTTCAACAGGCTGCCCGAGGGCTGTATCGATTCATGGCAAGAACTCGCCCAGCGATTCTTGACACAATTTGCCGGGAGGCGTCGCACGAGGAAGCACTTCTCCCACCTCCTAACAATACGCCAGAAGAAGGATGAGACCCTCCGGGATTTCCTAGAGCGCTGGAGGACGGAGGCCGACAAGGTCGACGGTGCTGATGACGGGACCCTCCTGACCCTCCTACAAACCGTCCTCCGCACCGGCAACTTTTCAAGGAGCCTCATCATTGAACCCCCCCCCCCCCCCCCCGCGACTACATAAGGGCTTTGCAGCGGGGGGACCGATATGCTGAGGCCGAGGAGGTGGAGAAGTATCACCAGCATCCAGACCAGCAGCCCCCGAGGGCTGACAACAAGCATAACCGAGGGCCGGGGGCTCCTCCAAATCACCCCAAGGCTTCGGGACCCTCTGATGACCGCCCTCGGCAAGGCCAAGCCAAGCCCGGGGGAGGTTATAAGAGCAACCCTAAGACTTGGGCCCAGCCCATTCTCCTGGACCGCCCTCGGACACCATTGACGCACCCCGTCAGCATCATCCTCGATTTTGCCGAGGAGAGGGGCCTTGTTGAGCGCGACTCTCGCGCACCCCCGGAGGTACATGCTATCAACCCTCAGTTCCCATACTGTCGCTTCCATCGGCACCAGGGGCACAGGACCGATGACTGCCATCAGCTAAAGACGGCCATCGAGAGGTTAATACAAGCGGGGCACCTGTCCCAATTTGTTCAGAGTCCTCGACAGGAGGGACCTTCTCATCAGGGGCCTCCCCGAGGGCACCACACGAAGGTGAACGCTTGGGTAAACCCGAATACCATCCCCCTCGGCAAGAAGAGGGAGATTGGGAACTTGGAAGAAGAGGAGGAGGAATACCCCCACTACCAGGAGAAAAAACGCCACATCCTCATGATCACCGGTGGCAATACAGGGGCGATTCCACCAGCCAGCGAAAGAAGTGGGCTCAATCGCTTTACGTGGGGGAAGTCACTCATATGCCCCCGGTAAAGAGACTGAGGGAGGAACCCATCACCTTCACCAACGCAGATCTCCCTCCCACTTCTTCTCCTCACAGGGATGCCTTGGTGATTCGGACGGAGATAAACGACACCATTATTCACCGAACTTACATTGACACGGGCAGCTCCGTCAATGTAATGTACCTCAGCACCTTCAGAGAGCTGCATCTAGAGAGGGGGGTCCCTTCGGCCCATTAAGACCCCTCTTGCCGGCTTCACCGGCGACACTATTGATTCCGAGGGGGTAATAACCCTCCCGGTGATCTTCGGCGACGGGCTCCATAGAGCCCTGCTCGAGGTGGAGTTCGTCGTCGTCAACATTGACTGCGCCCACAACATCATCCTCGGCTGGCCGGCCCTCGAGGACCTCGAAGCCATCATCTCCATGAGGCATCTCTGCCTCAAGTTTCCCGCCGAGGGGGGAATTGGCTACTCCCGGGGGAACCAGAAAATTGCCCGCGCCTGCTATCTTCAGGTCATTAAGAAGGTAAGCAAGACGGAATTCCGTGTTGACACCATCACCGGAACCGTCGACCAAGAGGAAAGGAGGCCGAGGGCTGAACCGGCCGAGGACGTAGAAGACTTTGCGCTCGATCCGGCCCAGCCGGAGAGAGTCGTGAAGATTGGAGCCCAGCTCCCTGAAGATTTGAAGACCGGTATCACCGACGCCCTCCGCGCCTACTCCACTGTCTTTGCATGGGGGCCGGAGGACATGCCGGGAATCAGCCGAAGGGTCATCACCCACCGCCTCTCGGTGGACCCTTCGGCAAAGGCAGTGCAGCAACGAAGAAGACCCCTCTCCGCCGAGAGGAGGGAATTCGTGAAGAAGGAGGTCGCCATGCTCCTCTCAATCAAGCACATCAAGGAGGTG